GAGGAAGACTGGAAGGATGGAAAAGTTTCCAATTTTCTAGATGCTCTGATTAAGCAGCAGATTTTGCCACCCTGGAAAGTTCCAAGGCTGGGAGAGCATGGACCAAGGAGTTAATTTTGCAATGGAAGGAGCTTGCAGAGGGGACAAAATAGCCTATGGACCTGGCTTCTAATGATTCTGGCACAGAAGCAGTGACCAAGGAGCATCAGCCTCTGAGGGGAGGGTGTGGGTGGGTCATACTGCAGAGCAGAGCCCCTGGGAGAGCTGCACTCACAAAGGTTCCTTGCAAAGCGATGTACCTGCCAGTGGAGAAGAGCTCAGAGCACCAACTACCACTGTACCATTCCTGTCAGTCTCACTTGCCTGAGGGGAGCTCATCTCATCTTGCCCTTAGCTGGAGACTGGCTTGAGGCTCTGTGCATGAAGCTCTCAGCACATTCCCCTGTGCCCTGATGTTCCGTTGGAATGGGGCAGTCTGGCTCCTCACTTGCTCTCTCCCAAGTCTCCACACACCTGCTTCCCTGAGTGTACCCCTGCATGGTTTCTGCACAGGCCTATCTTCATGGCCACTCTCCAGGTGGTTTTTGCACAGTGAAGCAGCCAGAGGAGGCAGAGCCAAGAATCTGGTCCTGCTTCCAGTACTTCTGAGATTCACTCCGAAGGCAGGGAGAGGACCATCTGCACAGGCAGGTTTGTGGAGGAATTCCCAGGGTGTTTCCCATCCTTTTTTAAACATAAACTAATGCTCTGGAAAGACTGGGAAAGCACCAGGCCCCTTGACAGCCCAAGATGCATGGAAGAGTTTACCTGTGCATGATTGCATTTAGCTCTAAGGCTCCAGCCCACTAAAATTAAATTAGGGAAATGGTTTCTGTCCCCAGCTAGCAGCTTGTCTGCTCGGGGGAGCAGAGGTAAGGGGTGGTCCTGCTGTCAGTCAGCTCCTCAATACCCACATAGCCATGTTTGGGGCAGCCATTCCCAACTACAGCCGTACTTGTCACCTGTGAGATCTCAGCCAACCTGTGACAGAGCACCCACATCTACAGACACAACCTGTCCTGATCATCTCTGGTGCCATCTGCCCAAAACCTGCTATTCCTATCTTCATATAAGGAGAATATGTATTTTCTTCTGTATTGGAGCAGCAGCTTGTCCTTGCAGGTCTGTGTCCATCCTCATTCACGTCTCCTCCAGGTTAAGTAACCTCAGTTGACACATTTTCCTTTAGTTTATCAACAGACTCCTGATCCTTCTCACTGGGCTGCAGGATCCAGTATCTTATCTCCCCAGCACACCTTGGCTGCAGAAACAAACCTATATGCAGGACCGGGAGCCCTACAAGTTGTGTTGTGTTGTGTCTTCTAGACTTGAGGATCCCAATCACCCCTGTAATTTCTATTCTAGATTCCCCACACGTGAGGATTTGGCATTTCCTCATCCTTCTGCTCATTGTTGTTGTGCTGTTCTGCCTATGCCCTGTGTCCTGCAGAGCAGGTCCCAGGTGGGACAGCGTGGCCTGGCCAAAGCCTGCCCAGCATCAAGGGGAGCAGAAGCATCACAGCTGGTGTTCAGTGCAGGTGGGTCTCAGATCAGCAGCCTCTCTTACAGCCTTTGCTGGCTGCCAGAGCACAGCACCCTAGGGAAGCTCAGTGTAAAGCCTGAAGGGTCACTTGCCCACCCTGAGTCCTTTACTGTCTTGGCTTCCAGCAGAGCCAAAAAGGCTAAGTATAAACTCTGTGCTTTCCCACTGTCTGAAGAAAGGAGCCAGGACTTTCCTCCCTGTTCCTGTATTTTAATACCTGACATCCCAGCATTTCTCTGAGCTTTCCTGCCTCCTGGGGTCTTCAGATTCCCCTCTCCAGATACCTCCTTCACTAGCTGTGGGGTTTTTTTTGTGGAGATTAAAGTGCAGAGAAAAGCACAGCCTGTGGGAGTGGTTATACTGGTCCTAAGGGAGGAAGGATCTGGTCCAGATGTCAAGCAGTGTGGTGAGCAGTTCATGTCACCATGAAGTGCTTCCTCTCACCATGCAGTTTTATGGCATCCCATAGCACATGGATATAACTGGGACCTAACCGATGCTCCCCAGTTACCCAGCACACATCTGTATTCTGCACAAGGCACACCATTTTACCCCAATTTACATCTGGTTGCCTCCCTATTTCTGCAGTATCCATAATGACACCATCCTATACAGCACTGCATATCCTCAGTTGCCCCAAATGCCTCCTACAGTGTTTTGGGTTGAAGCTGCTCTTTCCAGTTTCAGAGCTCCAGAATGCATGGATATCTTGGAGGAGCTATCTCAGCAGAGGGTTCTGGTCCTCAGCAGGCTTGGATGGGGCGCAGAGAAGTGCAACAAGGGAAGAGGTAACAGAGATGTGGCTTGAGAAGAGGTGAGGATCTTTGGTTACTCCCAGGGCACAAGGAGCAGGGTGAGCCAGCGCCACGGTCTCTCTCCAGGCTCTGCTCTCTACTCCTGGCCACAACTAGACTCTGGGGAAAGTACACTTGTTCCCTCTGATCCCTGGGGAGATGGAGCAGATCCTGCTGAGCTGCTGTGAAGTCACAGCTCCAACTAGATCACTGCTGGGGTGACCTCAAGGACCTGAATTACAACCTGAAGGAAACACATGGTGACCTTCACCTGATTTCTTCAGCACATTGTGGTTTTCTTCGGTCTTTTCTCGGTAGAGGCAACCAGTGAGATTCTTCACCCTTGCCATGTGATTAAGCTCTTCACCCTTCCTGTGTGATTAAGCTCAATGCTTGATGCTCCTAAGGCAACATTTCTAGACCTGTTCCAGCAATTCCCAGGGACCAGCCTGTCTCCACACTGTCCCTCACTGCTGCCCTCACTCTCACAGTGACAGAGGAATAGATGAGGATGAATGACTGCTGTTCCTGGAGGATGCAGGGACCTGCCACTGCATTCTCCAAAGACCTCGCACCGGTGGAACCCACAGAATCACTACAGAAAGCAATCAGAGCATCTCCTACAGTGACAGCACATGGCAGCATCACATACCACTGCAAACAAGCATCAGAGTCTTTGGAAAATGAACTGCTCCCAGTGGAATGAAGGTTGGCAGTGCCCCTGCTTTTAGGAAGCAGAAGCTTTGTTAAATAAGAGGTTCATGGCAGGGCCTGGACGGACCAGTCACTGCAAGCATCCACCCTTCCTTCCCTGGCCTTGTAGCTGTGTTAGTGCCCTGCACACCTGCACTGGAAAGGTTAGGGGTTCAGAGTAAATTTCAGAGAATCATAGGATCATTAAGATTGGAAAAGCCCTCTAAGGTCATTGAGTCCAACACAGCACTGCCAGGTCCACCATTAAACCATGCCCCTAAGCAGACACATGGTTCAGCTTCAGGCAGGTATGCAGCCAGAGGGAGGTGAGAGCCCATATGCCACCCTGTGTCACTGGGCACAGCCTGGTGAGAGCAAGGCAGGTTGTCCTGCAGCATGACACCAACTTGAGCTCTCACAAGACAGCCTGGAGCAAACTTCTCCATGCAACCATTTCCCAGCTGCAAATAGTCTGATCCTTCAAGCCCCTCCTTACACTGCGGTCACTTGTGGACATGACCCTTCTGGTGCTGCCCTGTGGTGGAGCACATGATGTGTCTGTGAGTCCAGTGGTGGAGCAGAGAGCACAGCTCCTCTCCCCACTGCAACCCATGCTGGCCCTGGCAGGGAGGCATCACTCTGGTACTCTGCACCAGAGTTCCCTGAGCCTGACACAAATAGAATTGATCAAAAGCTCCTTTAAAGGTTCCTCTGTCCCCAGAGCAGAAGGTTCCCCTTGTTGAAATTGGGTGGGAGAGCTGCGGTTTTTTCTCAGTTCCTTTGATTTGTTGCCTAATGCAGGGGATGGATAAATCTCTAAGCCCTGAGATTTAGGGCAGGATTCATACTTTACATCTTCAGAAGACGTAGTAAACAGCCCTATACTCTCTAATCCTGGGAGCAGGTTCATACCTGCTCACTCTGTATAAACTGGACCAGCTACAACAATTTCACATTGTGGCTGAGTTCAAAACATCCCCCTGGGGATGAAATGTTTATTGCAGAAGACTTTTAAGATGGTTCCTGAAGTGGAGAAAGGGAGTCCCACCTCAACACCCTGCGCAGACCCTGTGGGACTGTCACATGGATGCACAAAGCAGTGTGGCTGCAGGAGCAGTGAGACACCCAGGACTGCAGGAAGGTAAGACTGCAGGTGCCACAGTAGAGCCAGCTCAGCTGAGTATGGTTTCCTAAGCTTCCAGAGGAACTTTGTCACTTAGACCTTCCCCACTGGACAGCAGAGGCCTGCCCACAATGACCTGCATTAAGCAGGAGATCCTAGATATGGCTGCAGTACTCCTGGATCCAGCTGTGCCCACTGGCCCTGTAGGCAGGTTGGGCTCTGGCTGAGATCACACTGTCCATGGCAGTTCCAGGGGCAGGTCACTCCAGAGCCTTGCAGAGCCCTCCTGAGCCATGCAGAGGTTTGGGGCTAGGACAGGCTGAGCTGGACAGAGCACAGGACCTTTTCCCAGCACCTGCCAGGGGTATCTGCACCTTTGGATTGCTCCAACTCAACTTCAACATGACAGCAGAGCAGATGGGGCCAGTTTGAGGTCTGGACACCACATCTGCTGACACCATGTTAGAGCATTTGGTGGTTTTATGCAAAATCTGAACCTCAGCAAGCTTTGGCCAGGCCACACTGTCCCACCTGGGACATATTGTCACACAGCGTGGGGCTGTGCCCTGCGGGGACCTGCTCATGGTTTGCTGCAGCAGAGAGAGGAAGCAGGGGTGTGGGTGGCCCTTGGAGTGGGACACAGCTCCCAGTCACCAAGGGGCATGTTAGCCAGCAAGGGTGTAACATCTGACCCCACACCTCTGTGTAACTGTGCATCCCCTTCAGATATCTGCCAGTCCCTGTGCATGGGCAGTGCTAGGGGAGGTGAGGGCAGGGGCAGCTATGCAGAGGGGAGTGAGTTACTTACAGAATCTTCAGGCTGTAGAGGCCAGAGAAAGCTTCCCCTGGGATCCTGGAGATCTGGTTTCCAGAGAGGCGCCTGCAGTGAGAAGAAAAGCCAGTAATGTGTCAACAGCCTTGTAATGACAGTCCCTTGTCTGCAGAGGCTTAACAACTCGTCCCTCCTGCCACAGTCCCCTCGGGAGGAGGCTGCAGTACCTGCAGGCTGAGCCATGAACCTAAGCTTGGGCAATCTCTGCACATCATCTCCTTGTACAGCCTGGGGAACAGGCAGAGAAAATCATAGCTCCTGCAGACCTGGATCCAGCGTTTCCAGCATTCAGAGACAGCCTGTGGCTCAAGCCATTCCCTGGATACCCACAGAGGTTCTCACTCCACAGAAATTACAGCACAGGCACTGACCAGCCTATGGCCCCTCCTCCATGCATGGCCCTGGGAGGACCATCGCTGAATCATGGACCCTTATCTGTCCCTTTTGTCTGCATGTGGCCTCTTTCTGCATTCTGCAGGGTCTCCTTTGTCCTGTCCAGTAAAGCTTAATGCCATTTGATTTGCTTCCATTCCCTCATTTCCGGCCCTGCATTGACCTGTGTGACCACAGCTCAGGCCCAGACACACTGGAGTCTGGAATCTCTGCTGTGCGGGGAGACTGGGGAAGGGGCTGGAGATTAGAATCTCTGCGGTGAGGGGAGACTGGGGAAGGGGCTGGAGATGAGGACTACCATGGAGGTGCCACAGTAGAGGCAGTTCATCTGAGTATGGTTTCCAAAACCAAGACAGAACAGCCAAAAGTGGTTCTTGGATGAGTTATGGCTGGAGAAAAGCACAGGAAGGAAGATGAGCATATGGACAACACAAGCTGGGAAGGCTGATGAATGTGAAAGGATGGGAGAGTAAGACAAAGTGAAGAGTGGCATCACAAAGGAAAGTGGGACCATCTGGGATACACAGCAAGGAGCAGGAGACAACATTCAGAACTGGATGAAAAAATTTATCCAAGGAAACCTGTGGGATTTGCCATTGTACAGCATCATCTGATCAGAGCACTCAGATTTTAGCAAGGCCCCAAAACAGGCTGTGGAATTAACAAGTGTTTGGATTTTTTCAGTGACATTGGAACCTGTATCATTGTTTTCATCACTTCGGAATTAACAGGTGTTTGGATTTTTTCACTGACATCGGAACCTGTATCATTGTTTTCATCACTTTCACTGATGAGGACAGAGGTCCTAAGAGACCACAGTGGGAGCCTGTGGTGGAGCCAGGAGTGAAGTCCAGGACTCTTGAATCTAGGTTTGACCTAAGGAGAATCTTCTTCTCCTGTTTCTCGATGAGGACAGACATGGACCAAGTACCAGTGCCCATCAGCCAGAAATCATCAGGAATGAATCAGTTTCAACAACCTTATTAAGACCCCAAATATCTATGGCATTTGGGCATTGTGTTGTGATCCCCCAGTGGTAAAACAGAGGTCAAGACTGGATTTGTCCATAACCACTGAGTAAGAAACATGTTGTCTGCTTGACTTAGAGTGGAATATTGCATCTCCCCAAAGGAGATAGTGAATGTCATTTGTGTCCAAGCTGACACTTATCCTCCCAGACAGTCCAAAGTTTGGGCACAGACCCTGGCAGGGTTGTTGTATTCATCTTGCATTGCCAAAGCTCCTTTCTTTTTGACCATTTTTATTTGGGAATGAGACAGGAGGACTACAGCGAATGGTCATAAACTGAGACAGAGGAGATTCAGATTAGATGTTTGGAAAAATAATTCACTGTTAGGTTGTTCAGGCACTAGAATAGCAAATTGCCCAGGGAGGTGGTGGAGTCACCATCCCTATGATTCTAGGTGTGGAGGCTGAGCAGTGTAATCCCAGTTGGAGGCAGAGTGCATTGCAGCCAGGACTTGGCGAAGGTCACGGAGAGGACCTGAGCTGCTCTGGGCAGCCACACCGAGCACTGGCAGGGCAGGCCTGTGTGTGGCGTGTGTGTGGGTGCCCGAGCTCTCTCCCTCTCTGCTCTCCCCTCGGGAATGCAGAGAAAATTGCTCCCATAATTAGGCCTCTGACAGCATAAACAGCGCAGGGTCGTCCCTTTAATGTGTGAGAGCAGGTCCTAACGTGCCTCTCGCAGCGGAGCAGGCTGGGCGATTTGTCACTTGGGGGCTGCGATTTGGGGTAATTGCTCCTTTTGATTGCCGATTTCCACATGGGAGGGAGTGCTGTCCGGGAGGCTGGAGCGCTCGCCTGGAGGGGAGGTGTTCCCGCCCGGC